CTCCAAAATACATAAAACAAACTCTAACGGCATTGAAAACAGAAATAGACAGTTCCACAATAATAGTAGGAGACTTCAACACATCACTTTTGGTGAAGGACAGAACATCTAGAAAGAAACTCAATAAAATTGATACAGAAGATCTAAAGGCCAAAATCAGCCAACTCGACTTCATAGACATATACAGAACATTTCACCCAACAGCAACTAAAGGTATTTCAGAGCATAGAAAAGGAAATAATACTCCCGAACTCATTCTATGAAGCCAGCATAACCCTAATACCAAAGCCAGGCAAAGACACCAAAAAAAAAAAAGAAGAAAAGAAAACTACAGACCAAATATCCTTCATGAACATAGATGCAAAAAATACCAACAAAATTCTAGCCAATAGAATTCAACAGCATATCAAAAAAATAATACATTATGACCAAGTGTGATTCATGCCGGGTATGTGGTGATGGTTCAACATTAGAAGATCAATGTGATCTACTAAATAAATAAAAGAACCATACGATCTTATCAATGGATGCATAAAAGGCATTTGACAAAGTACAACACCTATTCCTGATAAAAACTCTCAGCAAAATAGGAATAGAAGGGAAATTCTTTGACTTAATAAAGAGTATTTATACAAAGCCAACAGTCAACGTCATTCTAGATGAAGACAGACTGAAAGCATTCCCCATGAGAACAGGAACTAGACAAGGATGCCCTTTATCACCACTCTTATTCAATATTGTGCTGGAAGTCCTAGCTAGAGTAATAAGGCAAGAAAAAGAAATAAAGTGTGCCCAAATTGGTAAAGAAGAGGTAAAACTATCCCTATTCACAGATGAAATGATCTTATACATAGAAAAACCCAAAGAATCCACAAGTGAGCTACTGGAACTAATAGAAGATTTCAGCAAAGTGGCAGGATACAAGATTAACATACAAAATCAGTAGGATTCCTCTACAGCAACAAACAGAACTTCGAAAAGGAAATCACCAGATCAATACCATTTACAATAGCCCACAAGAAGATAAAGTACATAGGAATAAATTTAACCAAGGACATAAAAAATCTATACAAAGAAAACTACAAAACACTACCGCAAGAAACCAAAGGAGACCTACATAAGTGGAAAAACATACCATGTTTATGAACAGGAAGATTCCATGTTGTGAAAATGTCAATTCTACCCAAAGTGATCCACAGATACAATGCAATCCCGATCAAAATTCCAAAGGCATTCTTTAATGAGATAGAGAAACAAATCACTAAGTTCATATGGAAAGGGAAGAAGCCCTGGATAAGTAAAGCATACTGAAGAAGAACAAAGTGGGAGGCCTCACATTACCAGATTTTAGAACCTATCATACAGTCATGGTAGTCAAAACAGCCTGGTACTGATACAACAACAGACACATAGACCAATGGAACAGAATTGAGAACCTAGATGTAAATCCATCCATGAGCAGATGATATTTGACAAAGGCTCAAAGTCCATTAAACAGAGAAAAGAGTCTCTTTTAACAAATGGTGGTGGCATAACTGGAAGGCCATCTGTAAAACAATGAAATAGGACCCATACCTCCACCATACACAAAAACTAACTCCAAATGGATCAAAGACCTAAATATAAAAGCTAAAAGATGAAGATCATGGAGGAAAAAAAAAAAAGGGGGGGGGGCAACACTAGGGGCTCTAATACTTGACATAAATAGGATACAAATCATAACTAACAATGCACAAACACCAGCAGAGAAACTAGATACCTGGGAGCTCCTAAAAATCAAAGACTTATGCTCATCAAAAGACTTCATCAAAAGAGTAAAAAGAGAACCTACAGACTGGGGAAAAAAAATTGGCTATGACATATCCGACAAGGGTCTAATCTCTAAAATGTACATGACACTGAAACACCTCAACACCAAAAAGATAAATAATCCAATTAAAAAATGGGCAAAGGGTATGAACAGACACTTCACCAAAGAAGACATCATCGCAACCATTAGCCATTAGACAAATGCAAATCAAAAGTACATTGAGGTAGCATCTCACCCCGGCAATACTGGCATTAATCCAAAAATCAAAAAATAACAAATGTTGGCGAGGTTGTGGCAAGACCGGAACTCTTATGAACTGCTGGTGGGAATGCAAAATGATACAACCACTTTGGAAAACAATATGGTGCTTCCTTAAAAAGCTAGAAATAGAAATACCATATGATCCAATTATCCCACTCCTAGGGAATATATCCTAGAGAAATAAGATACGTCACACGAATAAACATACGCACCCCCATGTTCATTGCAGCACTATTCACAGTAGCAAAAAGATGCGAACAAACTAAATGCCCATTAACAGACGAAAGGATGAACAAATTATGGTACATACACACAACGGAATACTATGCAATGATAAAGAACAATGATGAATCCGTGAAACATCTCACAGCATGGATGAATCTGGAGGGTATTATACTGAGTGAAATAAGTCAGTCACAGAAGGACAAATATTGTATGAGACCACTTTTATAAGAACTCAAGAAAAGGTTTACACACAGAAAGAGGCATTCTTTGATTGTTACGAGGGTGGGGAGAGAGGAAGAGAGGAAATCACTAACTAGATAGTAGACAAATATCAATTTTGGTGAAGGGAAGGACAACACACAACATAGGGGAAGTCAGCACAACTGGACCAAAGCAAAAGCATGGAAGTTTCCTAGACACATTCAAACACTTTGTGGGACTCAGTAGCTTAGGCTGGCGCTTGGGAACCATAGTCTTGGGGGACATCTAGTTCAATTAGCATAACATAGTTCATTAACAAAAAGTTCTACATCCCACTTTCGTGAGTGGTGTCTGCAGTCTTAAAAGCTTTCAGGTGGCCATTTAAGATACATCTATTGGTCCCTTTCCACTCAGAGCAAAGGAGAATGAAAAAAAAACAATGACGTAAGGAAAATATTACCCCAGGGACTAAAAGACCACATGAACCAGAGTCTCCACCAGCCTGAGACCAGAAGATCTAGATGGTGCCCAGCTGCCACCAGTGACCACTCTGACAGAGATCACAACAGAGTTTCTGAGAGAGCAAGAGAAAATGTAGGACAGAATTCATATTCACAAAAAAGATCAGACTTACTGGTCTGACAGAAACTGGAGGAACCCCTGAAACTATGGCCCCTGGACACTCTGCTAACCCAAGAACTGAAACCATTCCCGAAGTCCACTTTTCAGACAAATATTAGACAGGCCTATAAAACAAAAAATAACACACGTGAGGAACATGCTTCTTAGTTTAATCAAATAATCAAATATACGAGACCAAATGGGAAGCTCCTTTCCAAAAGCAGGACAAGAAAGCAGGAAAGGATAGGAACTGTATGAATGGACACAGGGAACCCAAGGGGGAAAGGGGGATCATGCTGTCACATTGTGGAGATTGCAACCAATATCACAGAACAATATGTGTATAAATTGTTGAATGAGAAATTAACTTGAGCTGTAACCGTTCAAGTTACAGCTAAATAAAAAAAGCACAATAAAAAAATTGATTAAAAAAAAAAGAAATTCTTTTCCCATTAGCAATTCCTCTGCATTCTCTCTAACCACCCCACATCTACAAAACTACTAATCTACTTTCTGTCACTATCAATTTGCCTATTCTGGGCATTTCATATAAATGAAATCATATAATAAATGGTATTTTGTGACTTGCTTCCTTCACTTAGCATAATATTTTCAAGTTTCATCCGTATTGTAATATGTGTAAGTGCTTCATTCCTTTTTATGGCCAAATAATATCCCATTGGAGCCCTAGTGGCACAGGGGTTAGGCATTCGGCTGCTAACCAAAAGGTTGGCAGTTTGAATCCACCAGTCGCACCTTGGAAACCCTATATGGGGCAGTCCTCCTCTGTCCTATAGGGTCACTATGAGTTGGAATTGACTTGACAGTCACTTTTTTTTTTAATATCCCATTGTATGGATTTATTACATTTTGTTAATCCATTCATCAGCTGATGAATATTTGAATTGTTTCCACTTTGGGGCTATTATGAATAATGCTGCTAAAAACATCCATTTACACATTTTTGTGTGGACATATGCTTTCAATTCTATTGAGTATATGGCTAGTAGTGGAATTGTTGGGATATATGGTAACTGTATATTTTAACTTTTTGAAGAACTGTCATGTTCGTATAGTTTTAAATGGATGATGGCTAGTATCAGATTGCTACAGTGTTTATATGTCATTGGTTATATTTAAAACGGAAATGCAACAGTGCATTTCAAAAGATATCATTATTTACAAAATGCTGAAAATTGTATCGTTTGCAAGTATTTAAAATTACAATGAAAAACTTTTAGTTGCTACTGGAAAAATGTAAGCAGAGCACATAGTTTTATGAAATTATTTTAGATACAATGCAAACAAAAATATCCGAAGACCACTGCACTAGAGAAATCCAGGAGGTAAGCTTTTAGTCTTTAGAAGAGCCTAAGTATATATAAGCAAATAAATATATCTGACTACTACAAGACCCTGAAGATGAAATAATGTTTCTGGGAAAAAGTCAGAATTTTTTTGGCTCCCAAACTCATCTTGTTACCTTTCTTTTATAGTTTGAGTAAATATGACTTAATTATTCCAAAAAAAGATGCTGAAGAGACTAAGTCTCTAATGTAGAATTGTACGATCTCACTTTCACTTCATTTTTTTCAAACAAGAATGTGCCCACACCCATTCTGCAGAGACATGTTCTTATATCTTTGTGTTAAAATACCTCTCTGCTTTCATGGTCAAAATCATTTTGTATATTATTTTATCCATTGCTGTTTTATACTATTGAGTTTAAATCCTGATTCTGTATCTTACTACCTTTGGAAAGTTATTTAACTGGACTATACTTCAGGTTCTTCATTTGTAAGGTGGGGATAATCATAATGTGGGTTATATAATGTAGGGTTATTGTGAGTATTGAATGAGTTAATGCATGTTGAACACTTACCTGTGTAAGCATACTGTACCAACGAATTAAGTGCCTCCGGATCCACTCCCTCCATCTTGATTTCTTCTTGTTTGGCTTCAAGCACATCGTTAGTAAACATTGCAGCAAAATAATCAGACACTGCACTGAGAACCAACCTGGAAACAGAAATGTTTCAGAGTAACTTAATCGAGTTCGTAATCTCACTGAAAAGTATGAAATGTATTCAGTAAGTTTGTAACACTGGTGAGTCAGTTTTTTTACATAAAATTTTCACAGTTCAGTAAAGTGCAGTGAAATTAGAAAGATAAATTAAGTAAACTGATTTTCTTTTAGAGGGTTTTTCTGTGCTGTTTTTTCTTCATCAAACTCTCTAAAGCTTGAGTCTTCTAAATATTGAACACAGAATTAGATTGTATATACTAATGTCTTTTTAATTCAGGAAGATAAAAATTTATTCCTCCCAATGTTCCCAATCGTAATCAATGCACTAATTACTGTTGTTGCTAATCAAAGAAGTAAATAAAATACTCTCTCTCATTCATACTTGTTATATCCACCAAATGTTATGATTGCAAAAGGATACTTACCGGTGGGCTGGTATTCGGAGGTGTCCAGCAATGAGTAGCACATCACACAGTTGTTTCTCTTTCAAGTAGTTCTCCATTTTATGGAGAGTTTGCTCTGCATGGTTTACAGCATGGAAATACTCCTCAGATCTGCTGACATTCATTTCTTCAGGATGGTGTGTATCTAATCTGAAGGGGAGTAAGAGTGAGAAAATGGTTTATCACATTTGTAAAAACTGGAATTTTTCTCCTAGTGACTTTACAAATGTCCTGTGGAAAATTAGGCACAACAACTTGTAAAAGAAATATGTTGGATTAAAGTAAATTTAAAATTTGCCCTCCAATCTTAAATATTTCACTATGATTACTGCCTAAACTTCAGTTAAAGTGAAGTATCATGGTTAGTATTTACAGCTGGAATGGAAACATATCTATTTATGGTTCATCTGCAGGGCTAGTGGCAAGTGGTATATGCACAAAGTTTAAAATATCATTCTCTTTCTTTGATTCTTTTGAGTATCACAGTTATGCCATTAGGCATGAAATCCTCAGAACTGATTCAAAACACTTTCAAATTTGATTATGTCCTGAAGCTTACCCATAGGGTAATCACTTCAAATCAGAAATATTTCTTGAAAAATCTCAAGCCTGAGAGGTCCATAAATTTTTTTTAAATATGGAAATCCTATCAATAAATCATACATATTTATTCCTTTTATTTTTTAATATTGAGGTAAATATGATACAATTTACAATAATGAAAGCTGTCTAGTGTCATTCTCAACATCACAAAATGGTAAAATTTACATACCAACACAAGTACATGGAGGTTTGCAATGAGTAGATAAAATTTTGTTGATCTGATAATCACACTTAAATGCTTTATTAATCTCATCTAAGTCTCTTATGCTTCTTCCAGCATCATTTTCCAACAACCTGTTAGGATTAGTTTTAAGTTCCCCCATCCCTAACTTGGAGCCCTTGTGGCGCGGTGGTCAAGAACTAGGCTGCTAACCAAAGGGTCAGCAGTTCAAATCCACCAGCTGCCACCAGCTGCTCCTTGGAAACCCTACGGGGCAGTTCTACTCTGCCCTATAGGGTCACTATGAGTCAGAATCAACTCGATGACAATGAGTTTGGATTAGTTTGGTATCCCCAACTCAGCCTGTGTTTCTTTGAAGACAGTTGATCCAGAAACACATTGCTTTCTGATTTAAATAAATGATTCACCTCTGAATCTTCTTAACTTTTAAAAACTCTTTGGGATCTTCAGTCTCGATTTTGTATTGATGCTCAGTGTATAAACATCCTTGAAAATTGCCTTTCTTCAGATGCACTTTTGTTTTTTGGAAAGGAGTAATCCCTTGGCACTACAGACTATGCAGCATTTAGGTTTCACTTAAGTCACTTATCCTTTCCTCTGCTGAAGTACAGACTGACTTCACATTGAGTCAGTCAAACTCTCAATGTCTCAAAATTTTAGATATCTTCATGTCTACCCCAACATGCACTGGAGATGGGGTATTCTAAAGGAGGAATATGTTTTGGGAAATTGTGGCCAGGAAAAAATTTTTTCTGTGAATTTTCTTCATCCTAACTTGGCTAAGGATAAGATTGAAAAAGAAGTGCCTTCAATTGCTAGCTAGTTTGGGATGTGTTTACAGGGACATAGTAAATTTATTATATATTTGCAATATTTTTATAACTAAAACACAGATTTAGGGTTTCTAATCTAAAAATCCTATAAATATGAACCACATATAAATTAATAAGATTTCAAAAGACAGAGGAAACTCTAATGTTTGTCTCATTCAGAAATAAGAAATTAGTAGTCAAAGAGATACGGCTAGATAAAAATATAACATTCAAAATACAACAGACTTAGTAACTTAAAGATATAAAAATAGAACAAAGACTATAATCTACTCTTGGTCATCATTAAGGCAAAGTGTAAAAACACAAAACAAAACAAACAAGCAAACCAACAACACCAACAATACCTGTAGTCAGTTCCAGCCCTAATTACTTACTAGATAAGTGATCTGATACCACTGCTGATGTCAGATGGATCCTGGCTGACAGCAGAGAACACCAGAAAGATGTGTACCTGAGTTTTATTGACTATGCAAAGGCATTCGACTGTGTGGATCATAACGAATTAGGACAACGTTGCGAAGAATAGGAATTCCAGAACACTTAATTGTGCTCATGAGGAACCTGTACATAGATCAAGAGGTAGTCGTTAGAACAAGGGGATACTGTGTGGTTTAAAGTTAGGAAAGGTGTGTGTCAGGGTTGTATCCTTTCACCATATCTATTCAATCTGTATGCTGAGCAAATAATCCGAGAAGCTGGACTATATGAAGAAGAACAGGACATCAGGATTGGAGGAAGGCTCATTAACAACCTACGTTATGCAGATGACACAACCTTGCTCACTGAAAGTGAAGAGGACTTGAAGCACTTACTGATGAAGATCAAAGACTACAGACTTCAGTATGGATTACACCTCAAGAAAACAAAAATCTTCATAAGTGGACCAATGAGAAACATCATGACAGATGGAGAAAAGATTGAAGTTGTCAAGGATTTAATTTTGCTTGGATCCACAGTCAACACCCACAGATGCAGCAGTGAGAAATCAAACAACACGTTGCATTAGGTAAGTCTGTTGCAAAAGACCTCTTTAAAGTGTTAAAAAACAAAGATGTCACCTTGAAGTCTAAGGTGTGCGTGACCCAAGCCATGGTGTTTTCAATTGCCTCGTATGTATGGGAAAGCTGGACAATGAATAAGGAAGATCGAAGATGAATTGACACCTTTGAATTATGGTGTCGGCGGAGAATATTGAATATACCATGGACTGCCAAAAGAACGAACAAATCTGTCTTGGAAGAAGTACAGACAGAATGCTCCTTAAAAGCAAGGATGGCGAGACTATGTCTCACATAGTTTGGACATGTCATCAGGAGGGATCAGTCCCTGGAAAAGGACATCATGCTTAGTAAAGTAGAGGGTCAGCGAAAAAGAGGAAGACCTTCAATGTGATGGATTGACACAGTGGTTGCAACAATTGGGTTCAAATATAGCAATGATTGTGAGGATGGTACAGAACCAGGCAATGTTTCATTCTGTTGTACGCTGGGTCTCTATCAGTCAGAACCGACTCAATGGCACCTAACAACAATACGGGAAGCAGGGCTGCCTTGGTTTCAAAGGGTGGAGCCACAGTTTCCTAGGTCTCAAAGGGTAGAGCCACAGCCTGTTAGGTTTTGCAGGGTGTAGCCATGGCCTCCTGTATTTGAACGGATGGAGCCATGGACTCCTAGGTTTCAAAAAATTAAATCTCCACCAACACGGTTTCTGAGTGTGGGGTTGTCATTATGGTGAGCCAAGAGGATGGGGCTGCTAGCCAAAGCTGAGGGGATGGTGCTGCCATGCCCCAGGGACAGGAGAACAGAGTCTGCTTCAGCCAAGGGGTGTGGTCACCACCAGATGGACTAGGAGAATGGGGCCATCCAAAACCAAGGGTGTAGAATTGCCATCCCAGTGGGTCTGGAAGGCGAGGCTGAAGTCCAGGGCTGAGGGGCCTCCACCCACAATCCAGAGAGCACTGCCGACACTCAGAGTCTGGAAGGCAGGGCAATTGCTCAGATGGTCCTGGTGAACAGAGGATTATTTTCAAGCCTTGAGAGCTAATGTAATTTGTTTCGCAGAGTTTTGGACTTGCCTGGTACCCATTATCCCCTCTTTTCCTCCAGTTTCTCCCATTTGTAAAAGAAATGTATACATTGTGCCTGTCCCACCATTGTATTTTGGAAGCAGATTACTTGTATTCTAGATTTCATGGGTTCACAGCTGAAGAGGAATTTTGTCCCACGATGGAACAGGCCTAAAGTGTCACCCATATTTGATTTAGATGATTCAGAATATGAGAGTTTGGTTTTGGAGTTGATTTAAGGCTTTTGGGATGATATGACAGAATGACTGATTTTTGTATGTGGGAAGGAGATGAATTATGGGGGGCTGAAGGCTGGAACGTTATGGATTGAATTGCCCCCCCCAAAAAATCCTAACCCCTATACTTGTGGATGCAAATCTATTAGAGAATAGGGTTTTATTTATTAACATATAAACATAAGGTGTGACTTAATTCAATTGTCTTCAAGATACAAAACAAGCAGATTAGGCACAGAAAAGCAAGCACAAATGCAAGGGAAGATACATGCCACATGATCGTCAAGGAACCTAGGAATAGAAGCTGAAGTGAAACAAGGACTTTCTCCCAAAGCAGACACAGAGACAGAACATTCCCCTAAAGCTGGCACCCTGAATTTAGACATCTAGCCTCTTAAACTGAGAAAATAAATTTCTGTTCATTAAAGCTACCCATTTGTGGTATTTCTGTTATAGCAGTACTAGATAACTAAGACACCTACTAAACTCTTATTCCTCACTGCCTTCTACCTCAATATATGACCTGCTCCCTCACTTAAAAATACTTATTGGTTTGTTTCTATTCCTATTTTGAAATTTACCCTAACTACCTATTATTGTGTTCATTTGTATATTTTTCTTAGTCCCTCTACTGGAGTATAAGCGCATTGAGTATAGGGACTGTGCTTCACTCTATTAGTGATGCCCATAGTACCTAGCTATCATGGTGTCTTGCATATAGTTTACATAAATATGCACTGGATTTAGAAGAGGACATAGAACCAGGGATATCATTGCTGATGTTAGATGGATCCTGGCTGAAAGCAGAGAATACCAGAAAGATGTTTACCTGTGTTTTATTGACTATGCAAAGGCATTCGACTATGTAGATCATAACAAATTATGGATAACATTGAGAAGAATGGGAATTCCAGAACAACTTAATTGTACTCATGAGGAACCTGTACATAGATCAAGAGGCAGTCGTTAGAAGAGAGAGGATACTACATCGCTTAAAGTCAGGAAAGGCGCGCATCAGGGTTGTCTCCTTTCACCATACCTACCCAATCTGTATGCTGAGCAAATAATCTGAGAAGCTGGACTATATGAAGAAGAATGGGTCATCAGGATTGGAGAAAGACTCATTAACAACTTGCGTTATACCGATGACACAGCCTTGCTTGCTGAAATTGAAGAGGACTTGATGCACTTACTGATGAACATCAAAGACTACAGCCTTCAGTACAGAGTAC